TTTAGGGTTTAGGGCTTAGGACTCAAGGTTTAGGGTTGAGGGGATTTCCAGGATTTAGGTTTTCAGGATCGGTTTACGCTACACATCTGGCTTAAGATGCCCCGATCCCCTTCTTCGTGTTGGTTGTAGAAAGCAATTGACCGGCAAGGGGGCAAAATGTAGCCCCAAATCTGCAAAGTGTCGCCTGGGGGAACGTAGGATTGCGAGGGCATGAGAGTCCAGGGTTTCGCGGCAGCTGAAGATTGCATGTGGGTGCTAGTTGCATCCCTGCACTCTGCTCTGTTAGTACAATCGCAGCTGCATGCAAACAAGGGCACATAAATTTTTCGTGGTCGAAGAACTAATCCCGTGAACCCTAAACCTTAAACCCTNNTAAACCCTAAATCCTGAGCCTTAAACCTCAAACCCTAGACCCTAAACCCTAAGCCCTAAGCCCCTAAGCTCCTGAACCTTCAACTACGAAGCTCTGAACCTCTGAAACTTCGAAGTTCGCTGACAAACCTGACGTGAAGTCGTGAACCTTCTTAGGCTTGGGGTTTAGGGTTTAGGGTTTAGGTTTTAGGTTTTAGGGTTTAGGGTTTAGGGTTTGGGGTTTGGGTTTAGGGTTTAGGGTTTAGGGAGCATCTGGAAGTTTCAGAAAGCCAGGGAACTTACTGTTTCGGGCTGCGTCTGATGAGGATCCTATTCTTGAGAGTTCTGCAAGACCAAACCCTATAAACCCTATAAGGCCTAAACCCTAAACCCTAGAAGGCCCGAACCCTAAACCCTATAAGGCCTAAACCCTAAACCCTACAAGACCTAAACCCCTAAACCCTATAAGGCCTACTAAACCCTGTAAACCCTATAGGGGCTAAACCCTTGAAGCCCTACAAGGCCTAAACCCCTAAACCCAGGAAGGCCCTACACTATAATTGGGCAAAGGGAGACCTAGCCTGGTTCGCAAAGGTCGGCAAGCTCACTAGATGTTATAAGCATCTGGCGAGCGGCACTGGCAGTTGCCAGAAGTGTGGTGCTGGGACACCTGACAAACCCTTCGAGGACATTGGTCGACAGGCAGCATGGCACACAAGTTTGTACGAAACACGGCCATGGTCCAGTGATGATCCTCCTATGTTCGACAAGATACCGTTCGACAAGACCACTCCAGAGAGGATTCTCAAACGAGATTTTTTCACTGCAGCAAGATTGGCACATTCAAAGATTTCGTGGGGAGCTCTGTGCTCCTCATTGTCAGGCTTGGATATTTCAATCAGGTCGATGCGCTGAACAACCAAAAGGTGCTTCTGCAACGTGCTTTTGGCCATTTCCGTTTATACTGCTGCACTGTCGGCAAGCATCCATCTATGCATTCGTTCACAAAAGACAACTTCAACTGCGCGTCTAAGAAGAAATTCCCTTGGTGCAAAACTGAGGGCAGTGACACAATGTTGTTGATCGAATGGCTACAGTATCATAGCAGGGCTTGCTTGAACGATCCTATGGACGAGAGCCATAAGGATATTTTAGAAATGGTCAATTGGACTGGACGGGCTGGCACTTCGTGGTCTAAGTCGCTCTACAAGCATGGGATGTGGCTGTCGAGGTCTTGTGCAAGTGCTCTAGCAAAAGAAGGGAATGCATTTTAGAGAGGATTTAATTCTCTCGCTCATGCTACAAGGCCTAAACCCTAAACCCTAGAAGGCCCGAGCCCTAAACCTTGCTTTCCGAAGCCCCCACATTTGGTCCCGTTCAACCCTGGCCTGAAGAAGAGGGTTTAGAGAGTTAGGGTTTAGGGTTTAGGGCTTTAGGGTTTATAGCGGTTAGAATCTTAGTGGCTGAGTAGGTAACCTTTAACTTTTTAGGGCTCTTATAATCCTACTATAATTCAAAAGGTTAACCTTTTTTGGGCCAGGGTACTCAGCCCCTGAGGAATAGAACCTCAAAAGTTGGAACCCCAATAGCCTCAATCCTTACTTTAAGAGCCGTTTAAGCGGAGTCCCAGCACTAATTGTCCTTAATCCGGTTTTTAACTTTTGGGGGTTTTGTGCAAACCTTAACCCTAAGCCCTGAACCCTAAACCCTTAAAAAATACTTATGTTGAGCCTGGGCAACCCTAAACCCGAAACCCCAAACCCTAAGCCCTGAACCCTAAACCCTGAAAAAATACTTATTTTAAGCCTGGGCTGAAGAGGAGGGTAGCAGGGCCGGCATGCGGGCCAGTTGACTTCTGAGTCGGGGTTTCAGGTTGAGGGTCTTAGGGTTGAGGGATTGGGGTTCAGGGTTTAGGGTTTAGGGTTCAGGGTTTAGGGTTTAGGCTTCAGGGTTTCGGATTTAGGGTTAAGGGTTTAGGGTGCAGGGTTTAGGGTTTAGGATTCAGGGTTTAGGGTTCAGGGGTTTGGGTTTAGGGTGCAGGGTTTAGGGTTCAGGGTTTAGGGTTTAGGCCGGGGTTTAGTGCTTGGTTGTGCCAATCCCGAGTCCCGAGTAGGCCCTCTAGCCGTACCCTGGTGCTCGCATTAAAGGTTTAAATAGGGTTTAGGGTTTAAGGTATGGGTCTAGGGTAGTGATTAGGGTTTAGGGTTTAGGATAGTGATTAGGGTTTGGGGTTTAAGGTAGTGGTTCGGGTTTAGGGTTTAGGGTAGTGGTTAGGGTTTAGGGGTTTAGGGTGTAGGGTTATTTCCCCCTATGCTGCTCTGAACCCAATAAGTTTCGAGCCCTTTCTACTGGCCTTGGAGGCATTCTGCCCTCTTCTGCGTGACTTCGCCTCTGCCCGAGCTGAGTGGTTTCTTGGTTCAGGGTTTGGGGTAACGTCGCATGAGCAATTCGACACAAAGCCACATTCCTGAAAATGTACTTGAAGGCATATACCGTTACCCTAAACCCTAAACCCTAAACCCCAAACCCTATAGGGACATAGAGCATTCGGTAGTAGGCACTGCTCCCATCCAGGGAACTTCACCCCCCAGCCCGAGACCTAAGCAGGCTAGCGGAATTAGGCACGGTGTCCAAGAAGAGGCGCTGCCCCTAAGAGAGCGGTTTAGGGTTTAGGGTTTAGGGCCATGCAGATTCACTGCGGAAGCAACAAAAACCCTCACCCTAAGCCCTAGGACCCCGGACCCCGCACCCAAAGCTCTTATAAGCCCCACACCCGAAATCCCTGAACCCTAAATCCCTACACCCTGAAACCCTAAACTCTACTGTACACCCGAAGCCTTTATAAGCCCTAAACCCTAAACCCTAAACCCTAAAATCCATAAATCCTACGACCTTCACTAAAGCTTGAGACTCAACAGTTCAATCGACGCGAAATCCGACGCCAGGCGATTGAGCGTTTAGGGTGTTCGGGGTTGGGGGTTTAGGATGGTTTAGGGGTTTAGGGGTTTGGGGGTTAGGGTATATGAAGGGGTAAGACACGTGGGCATATGAGGACTTTGGGGCAGAGAGTGCAGGGATGCAGGGATTCGGGCATTTTGCAAGTTTTTAAGACACGTTTAGTCATATATGTGTGCTTTTTACTCACTACTCGAAAAGCAGCTTTACCTTGAAGGCACTGAGGTACCCGGGCTCGTTTTGTCGTGTAGTGAGAACAGGAACCATAGACCATAGATTTGCCACAAATTCGCTTATAGCTTTCAACATTGTACTTACAGCTGAGTTTGTTCAGGGCATAGGTTTCACGTTCAGGGTTCACGGCATATCGGTACCCTGGGTTGTCGCGGTGTTTCCATTTTCGGTTTTGAGGAGTTTCAGGGAACTTCGAACGAAAGCTCACAAGAAAACCTGTGAGTGGGAACCGGTACCTAAACCGCTTGCGTCCAAATCCACGATGATATGAGCCTACGATATCATGGTAGGACCATCATCGAACAATGGTAAAGCCCTCCAGAAAGCCCGAACCCCCCTAAACTCTATACTACCGAAGCCCTTAACCCTAGGCCCTAGACCCATCAGGTCTTAAGCAGCGAGTCGAGCTACGTGGTGCCTGCAGCTCAGGAAGGGCTCAATAAGGGTCCGGCAAGGGGTTCATAAAGCTCCTATACTATACGACTGTAAGGGTCGTAAACCGATTGCTGTAGTTATAGGAGTTCTGCAAGGGGTCTCTTAAGGGACCAGGGCCTTTAGTGTGGCAGCAGACCAGCCGGCGAACTGCAACGGGGTGCCTAACCCCTAAACCCCTAAACCCTGAACCCCCAAACCCCCAAACACGCAAACGCCTAAACCCCTAAACCCCTAAACCCTCAACCCTGAGACTTTGAAGGGTCTGCGCTTCGAGTGCATGGCTTTAGCATGGGCCCTGCGGGCTTCAGGTGAAGGGCGCACATCACGATACAGTTTGTCGAAGTAAGGAAAGCTGGTTACACTGGTAGCACTCGTAGTCGTCGTCGTCGTCGTCG